AGCAACTGTGCCCGAAAGCAAAGCTTCCTAAGCTTGGCTGCATGTTGAATCACCTGGGGAGTTTTGAAAACAACTAACGTCCGGCTCCCACCCCGAGAGATTCCGAGTCAGTTGGTGTAGGGTGTAGCCTGAAGTTCAGTATTTTTATTTTCCGAAGCTTCCCAGATAATTCCAATGTCCAGCCAGGGTTGAGAATCGCTGACCTAGAACAGAGGAGTTTGGTTTACAATCTCAATTTCTGCAGACCAAGCGTAATAATAATGACAGTAACCCAAAAGCCTCTAAGGCCTCAAAGCATGTGATCGGCCATAAGACCAGGGTGCTGCAGAGACGAATCCTGCCTGCCGTTCTCTTAACAAAGCAGATAAGCTGCTGAGCATGGACTGGAGCCAGAGACAGCCGGGAGGAGAGAGCCCTGGTGAGAGACGGGCCTCAGCGGGCCTCCGAGCTCTACCCCTGTTGGCCGTCCTCTTACTCCAGCCTCCATCTCTGTGGGGAAAGACCTGACCAAAGCAGGACATGTGGGCCCCGAGCAAAGAGGACAAATGCCCTGTCTAGTCTTCTGGGGCCCTTGTGCTTTTCCATGTGACAAATGTATAGAACAGCTAAACATTACTTTTTTTTTTTAATTGTTATTTTTTTCTACTACTAAAGAAACCTAAAAGAAATTACAGGCATTAAGATGAGGTTTTGCTTTTATTTCTCCTGGCCCCATCCTATTAGTGTTTTTAGCAATACAACCCTGAAGCAGACACAGAAAGGCTCAGGGCAGCCCCTCGACCCTCTGAGGGGAGCATTGGCCAGGCAGGGGCTGCCCCAAGGCCGGGGAAGGGGCCTCTCTGGGACAAGGCTGTTATTGCAGCTGGTTGGCCAGCGGCCACGCTGAGCCCCGGCGCGGGAATGCGGTGCCTTCTGTTCTCCTGGCCTGTTTCTCATAGGCACGTAGGCCAGTGTATAAATACAGTTTTATTAAATGCAAGTCAGTTCTCATTAACAAAGAAAGAGGGC